CACTAGACTACGAGCAGGTCATCCTTAATAAAGTCTGAAAGCCAACGCAGGCAAACTCTTTATACAAGTATACTTATTCAAGAATTTATTTGAAAAAGAGAGACAGGTTCCTGCAAGGTCAGGGATAAGCTATTGTACAAAAAATTAAATAAATAAAGAGAGTGCTACCTAACTAAGGATCTAATATCTTGGATAGAACGCTACAACTACCAAGGCCCATTGTAGCCCCTTTTCACCAATTTACAAAGTCAAATTTTGTGTTCAAGCTATAGTCTATAGAGGTCAATTCTGAGGGGCTTGCACCATGTGAGCACAGCTTTTTCTTGTCATAGTTTCTCCATGAACAAGAAGAAAGGAAAAAGAGGAGAGTTATAAAAGGCTTGACCACATTCTTAATAGGTGTGTAGTTCAGCTGTGAAGCATTTAGATTCTAAGAGATTTTTTCCCTTTTTTCAATTTCTTTTCTTTCTGTAAGGTAAGGAGAAATACATTAACATCTAAACAAAGGATGTATAAATGTGCAATGGCATCTCCCTCCCCCAAACAAAACTAAGATAAAGAGCTTTCACCATAAAATATCCCTCTTCCCAGAATCTAGCAAGACCATCTATCATACTGTCCATTTCTGAGGATCCATCTGATTTGAGTAGGAACAGAGATTGAAACTTTCCTTATTTCATTAAGATTTAAGATACTGTTCCAAATCCTATGATTCCCTTCCCAACTTTAGGCTTGATCTTGTAGAATTAGTCAAATTCCCTGAACTGCTAAATAAACAAATCTGTTTGAAAAATAAGCAAATCTTGCTCTCTTGGCTAGTTGGCTATCCATGTACCTTTAAGAGGGAAAGAACTTTGTTTTTGGTGGAATCTGCAACACTAAGGTCCATCATCATTCATCATATCCACATTCATTAGGCTTTGAGGACATTCCACCAATGTTGGCAGTCCCAGACTTCCAAGAGAGCTCCCATCAAAACTGGCTCCCCAGAGTTCTGCCCTAATGTGTAAACCCTGTCCTTTCCGTTGCTAAAGTTTTTCCTTAGTGCAGCCAGGCGCCATCAATTCTAACACCACTAGACCTAAAATGGTGCAATAATTTCATGGTCTCCGTGCACACATGGGTTATGAGAATATTGGCAAACTTGATGCTGTTGAAATCAAAAGGGCAGATCAACTGTGTGTTCAAGCCTAAGTCTGTTGGGTTCAACTACCTTAAGTAATAATTTCATTGATGTATCAGCGTGCATCTCTCTATTGCTCAAAATTTTCAGTGAAACATGATAAAAAAACTGATCTCTCTGTCACACTCATTTATTTGTTGCAACATTTCTATCGAGAAGTTATCTTCACTTTGGATTCCATTTCTACATGCTTTACATTCTTGAGGGGAGTACAAGGATCTGATTAAATAACACTCCATTTCTATTGCACTCCCTTACTGCCCTATATATATATGACATTCTACACTAATTTGCCCTCTCCATTTCCATGGTCTTTGCAGCCTTGCAGCATACTTCAAGTTTGTAAAATTTAGACTAAATACTAACCTTTCTGCTGATTAAAGGGACAGACTTATTCTATTTTCCCTATAGGTTGATTATGATTATGTGAATTATAAAACATTTTGATCAGTTTTTGGCAACACTGATTCAGTGTTTGATGCTGGTTTTCTGGTTTAAAGAAAAATATGATATTTGTTTATGGAAAAGGTGATCTTTTATCTATTTGCCATGAAATAATCTGCACATGCATGAATGAGTTATTTTGATACTTTTAACATACTTATAGGGGTGCATAAATTCCTATACCAAAATTTATCTCTTTCCACATATTCTCAACAGTAATTTTTTTCTTATAGTTTCAACTAGAAGATGCAATTGAGAAAGAAGACTTTGAGGAAGCTGCAAAACTGAAAGCAGCTATTGCTGAGGCAACATCTAAGGATGCTATAGCTGAAATTATGTTACAATTGAAGGTTAGCTCATTGATTGAACTAGTTGCATTATGTATGAATTAGCATGATATTTTAAGATTTAATCTTACGATTCTGTTGATTGACAGAATGCGATTGATGAAGAGCGTTACCGTGATGCATCAGTATTATGTAAACTCACAGGAAGTGGTCTGGTAATTTTTCTAGTCATTATATCTTGTAATCCTATAAACAAAGAACTTAAATATCGTCTCTTTCTTACATGACCAACAGGGCAAACTTGGGCACACAAGAAGTGCCTGATAAAGTTTTCCAGTATACTATGTCCAATATGGATGTGCAATACACATTTTGAAGTGTCTATTTAATGTTAGTTGGCCTGGAATTGACACTAAACTAACTGAAGCTACTCAGATGCTTGCTTGCATTGTATGCATGTTCTGGAGCTTAGGAAATGCTGATGCATGCTAGCTTTTGGCACTTGTTTCTTTACCTGTATGTGATCTCCATTACTTGGTGTAATGGTAAAATCTCATGTTAGCAAGTGTGAGAAAGTAGGTTCGAGTCTGAGAGTGACCACTTTGTAGCTTGTACAAGAAATGTCAAAGGTTAGGACTGTGTTCAGTCTATCCCTCCCTAGACCCCAGTAGCTGGAAGTCTGGAACCAACATTGGGTAATGGCCTTTATTAACTAGTTAGTGTTCTTGTGCTGAGAAAACTTTGAAAATGTAGAATTCAATAGCATGGACATGTTAGCAATAGCATGTATATCTGATTATATGCTGAGTTGGTAACATGGTATGTTGAACTGGTGTTTTCAAGAGGAACTTTTCAACGAACTGGTTGTGGAAAACTGGCGAATTAAGCATTACAGGAGTTTCTGTTTTTGAATTGGTTTTGTTGTTTTTTTTGTTAGCTCCTACTCTGTTGGCTGCCACATGCTCATACATGCAGCCACGACAAGATGTTTGAGTGGACAATCTTTAACTTGCTAAGTACAAAGATGCAGCTCAATTCGACTATAGTACATTGTAATCAGAAAATCACAATAATGAATATCTCTAGATGAAGCTTTTGGTATGACTTATTAATGTCCTTTTTCTCTTCATTTACAGGTAGGGTGGTGGGTGGGTTGTTCAAAGGATTCTGATGATCCCTTTGGAAAATTAGTACAAATATCCCCTGGTGTAGGCAGATTTGTGGCAAGGAGTTACAGTCCAAGGTGGAGGTTAATTTAAATGTTTCTATCTAATTTCTTACTTACCATTGAACATCAGTAACATTTGTTTGTTTCAGGCAGTTGGTCACCGCAACTCCTGGGACTCCATTGTTCGAAATCTTTGTTGTCAAAGATTCCAATAATACATACATTATGCAGGTAATATATGTATTTGCCATATTTAATTAAAGCTTTGCTTGAGACACAAGGAAGTCTGTTTTGATGATATAGAATCTGTTTTTGTCTCTAGCTGACTGGATAAATACTAAATTTGACTAGGCTCACTCTTGCAAACAGAGAACCAGCAGTGGCTGTCCTAATGGACTTAGCTGGTACATGTATAACTTCTTTGTTTTTTTTCAATTGGTTGGTTCCATAGGTTTTGTGTGGCACCCTTCATATGCATTTGTTATGTCTGTGTGTCAAATGATGCCAACAAGACATAAAACATAAGGTGGGATGTCGGTTATCATTTTGGAGAATTCTATAATAACCATTAAGTAGGCTTTAAGGACTTGCTGTAATGGTGTATCAGTTGAAAATTACACTTACAGTAATTCAGATAATGCAAGAAAAGAAGAAAAGAGAGAAAGAGAAAGAAGTTTCAGCAATAGGTCGTGGAAGAAGAAAAGAAGGGAAGAGAGAAAAGAATTTGAACCTCTCTCTCTAGCCCCCTTTCATCACTTTTATTAATAATTCTAAGTCTGAGTACAATTACTTGGATGCCCTTAATGGGGCGGCCAGAACTAAAGAAATAGTTAAAGAAAATAAAAGAAGGCCCATAAGGCCCATAACTAAGGCCTATAACTAAGAAACATAACTTTTAAATACTACTTAAAAGAAATAAAGAACACTAAGGCCTATTTGGCCCATTCTCACTACAGTATCATAGAACATTGCTCTCATGTGAAGAGTAAAATATCGCCCCTCTCCACCACCAAAAAATAAAGACAGAAAATTAATAATATATTATATTGTAAAAAATTTAATTTATTGCATTGTTTTGTATGGTGACTAAAGTAACTGGTAAGAGGCTACTTAAGTGGTATTCATCAGTTGTTTTATGCTGCCTTATGGGCATGTTATTACCTCCTAATTTCATGTCAGTAGACATCATATGGCCTTTTTGTCAGGTAATCTAGGTTTTCTATTGCAATTTATACCTACTGCTTTTGATATTGAATCTCTTTCAGGTAGTATGCTTGCAGCGAGCCAAAGAAAGGCCATCAAATTCTACATTGTCGACATCAAAATCATCAAATGGTCCAACCACTTCTGCCACCGACTCTTCTGCAGAAGATATTTCAGTGGATGAAGAGGATGAGGTAGAGAAACTCGAAAAGAGTGCAAACAATGTTAAGGATGCTAGTGAAGAAGGGATAGAAAGTGTTATAGATTTTCTTAAAGACAAAATTCCAGGATTAAAAGTCAAAGTCATGAACATTAATGTTCCAGAGGAGATAGTAGAGGGTAGTGACAGTGTGGAGCAGCCAATGCAGGAGGACAATGAGAAGGCAGGATCTGCTGATAATTCTGCAGACAAAGTTGACCTGGGTGAAATTCATCACGAGGGGGTTGCTCCTGGAGGAGATACCAACACAAGGGAAGAGGAAAACAATATGGCCATGAAGGTTTTTATTGGTGGGTTGTTACATAACAATGAGGATACCCCTTCTGAGGATGGGTTTATGCGATTCCCAGCTGAAATAAAGGATATTGAAAAGGATTCATTTGTACTACATGTTCCAAGGAGAAGTGAGGATTCTGACATTGGAGAACGTAAAGTGTCTAGGGTCAGAGTTGCAGCTATTGCAACTAATGGTGTTTCTGAGCTCATGCCTCTTGATGTTGCTAAGGAATTTTGGGGTGTAGACAAGGTTCCTTCAAAGGTGAGTTAAGATGAAGTTTATACTTTTATTTTGATATAGAACTGATATTATTTGACATTTTGAATGGTCCATTTCTGATAGTTTTGCATCCTAATTTTTCTATCAATGTAGTTTTGGAAATTATTAAAGGTTAGAAGGGTGTTGCTTGCAAAAAATATTCTATTCCATATCAATTATCAAATAAAAAATTCTATTCCACATCAACTTTTTATTTCGTTCATTTGTTGACCATGTACAAGTTTAAGATCTTTCTATAGGTAAATTTGAGTATGTATATTGTTAAAAGGAAATATTGACATTCTTGGATATACAAGCTGTTCAATGCTGCTTTCACAAACAGGTGCAGGGTGTGTCAGAGAGTTTTGGGAGTGGGAATACATTAAAAACTTGTAACCTACTAGATAAAGGAAGATATTAAATCTTCATATTGTTTTCCTCCCTCCAAGTAGCATCAGCCTCTGAAATATGATGCCTTGTGACTTGTGAGGCTTTTAGACCCAATAACACCATGATCCATCAGCTTTGCTATTAATCACTATGGTGATTGAGGCCAAATCTACTGCTGCAATTAGGTTCTTGATGCCCTTGCTGCAGGCAAATTGAACCCTCTAAGCATACTAACGAGTAACAACCTGAATATCCAAATAGATGTTTCCTTTGTCCTCACAACCATCTGTTGGAGCACCACCATATCCAGACCTCACATCTGCCACTGGTCCGTCACCATCTGGAAACTAGTTGTTATATATAATTGAGAACACTATTCTTATGAGGAGATATTGTTGCTTCCTTTTCGAATTTTATTGTATTCTACATTTCAAGGAAATTCAATCATGATCTAGGTGCAAACTTGTTGTCTTATGAATATTTTCTTGAAAATAAATTGACTGGTTGCTAACTCTTTTAGGTTTCTAGAGATGTGCGCGAAATTGTAAAGCTAGCTGTAAGTCAGGCTCAGAAACGAAATAGACTATCTGGAACTACAATTTTCACTTGGATCACCACCCCTAGAAATGATTTGGATCCATTTGATGGTAAACTTGTTTCTCCATATTATCTGTCCCTTAAGAGTGAAAACAAATATAACCAGGGATTCCTATGTAAACAACTACCAATTTCTGTGAGGATGAGAATGCTTGGTTGAAATGCAGGCCTTTATGTTGGGGCCTTTGGCCCTTACGGCACTGAGGTGGTACAGTTGAGGCGTAAATTTGGTGACTGGAATGGGGTGGATGACACAGACAAAAGGTCAGATGTGGAGTTTTTTGAGTATGTTGAGGCAGTAAAGCTGACAGGGGATTTGAACGTTCCTGCTGGTCAGGTTTGTAGAATTTAACTTCATCGTATTTGTTTTACATCGATATACATGCATTTATATTGTTTAGTCAAATATGTATTTCTTGTAACAGGTAACTTTTCGGGCAAAAATTGGTAAAGGGAGTCGTATCCCCAACAGTGGGATGTATCCAGATGAACTTGGAGTGGTAATTCCTGTTCTTGCTTCTTTTTCCCCCTACCCAAATTTGTTCTGCAGCAGTCTGAAGCAGGCATTATGATATTCCTGTAGATTTCTCTGCATGGGCCAATTATATTTTTAAAATAGGAGATTTTGGTTTGTGTATTTCAATATGGTTTTCCAGATTCCCTAGCAGTCTTTCATTTCTTTTTAGATGAAAGCTGGGATTCAGGTAGCCATGGCATGTGGAGTTCAATATCAGATGTGACTCTATTAACTGTGCTCCATCCGTTTGAATGATCAATTCTTGTGAGTTTGATTATGTAGGGAAACTATCAGTGCTTAGGCATATTCTGATGGCAACTGATTGGAAAGATCTCTTGTTCAGGTTGCAAGTTACAAAGGTCAAGGTAGAATAGCAGAATTTGGATTTAAGAATCCACAATGGGTTGACGGTGAACTTCTCCAACTTAGTGGCAGGGTAAAGTTATCTTCTGAATTTCATGATTGTTGCTTTATGGTTGAGTCTCACCGATGCAATTAGATGATTAGGCCAATTGGAATTCACCTTTCATGACGAACTCATGAAGAGTATTGCTCGGCTGATTGATGGTCCATTTATTGGGGGCTTGGATGAGAGAGGAGGTATAGTCTTCTCATGGGAGAAAATGAATGCAAATGAAATAACCATCCACAATTCACATTCACATATCTTGCCTCAGTAACCATCCACAATGAGTTGAACTTTTTTGGTTTGTTCGTTTCTGCTTTTGTTTTTTCTTTTTCAAGTACCTATCCACAAAATGAGTTAGAATCAGGTTTTTTGTTTGTTCTGCTTTCTTTTTGTGTTTTTTTTTTTTAATTTTAGTGGCTTTATTTTTGTAATATTAACTAGCTGTTGATTATATATGTATATATATACTCAGGGCATGGAGCCGTATGCCAGAGGTGCAGACCTTGGATTCCTTTATGTTGTTCCACAGCAAAGCTTCCTTGTGTTGTTCAACCGGCTGAAACTTCCAGAATGAAGTCAGTTGTTTTGACCTGAGAGTGCTATTGGGGAAATGCATTTAATCCCTTTAGAATTTGGATGCAAGAGGGTATCCGTGTATATAGGATAGAAGATGTTATGCAGCAGGGTTTTGAGGGTAGCAATTAAATGGCTGTTTACGATACAGTGCTGTTTAATAGTGTTGTTGCATGCAATTACTGAGGTGTATATTATGTTGCGGCTGATAAACCACAGAGTGACAAAATGGAAGTAATAATAGTCTTATTAGTCTGTTTTAAAACTTACATAACATGTGTTAATTCTTTATCACGTATGTGGCTTGTTTCCTCTTTGTGTTGTGTACTCTCTAGCTAGCTTTGTAGCTGACTATGCAACTGCCGGCTTTGCCGTGAACTTGTACCAACGAGTGCATCTAATCGAATGATTCTAATCTAAAACTAAAGAAGCTCCCGCTTTTTTCAGTTGTTTCTTTAAAATTTCAGCTGCAGCCAGCATGTGATGTGAGCTGGGTTGGCTATCTATTCCCTCCCCAATCCCCATTTTTCTTTTGTTTGCTTTGGAAGAGGTGGTGGCTTGGGCCTTGGAGGAACATGAATTGGAATTGATTTGAGAATTGAGATATCGAATTCGAACCAAAAAAAGACAAATTGATTCGAGAAAAAAGGTTAAAGTAAGGAATGAAACCAAGGGAGACGCAAAATCAAGAATCTAAAAGCCCTTCAACAAAGAAATCTTCAATAAAGCGCTTTTTCATCATGCAAGTCTTTTTGTTTCTTCATTGAAGTATATGTATGCTGTACGATTGCTACTTACTGTGCAAGTTAAGTTTGAACGTGTTGTTAATCGGGTTTTACCGATTGTTAACAAAAATCACAGAGAGAACTCGCACCTGGATGGCTGGATTGGGTTTTTCTTTATGGTTGACTAGTTCCTTGGGTGGTAAGTAGGTCACTGTTAAAGTCCACGCGTCAATTTCAAATCTTATGTTTGATAATAATTTAATCAGTAAAGTGGAATCTGTGAGTGTGAGACAGATCCACCCGCAGTACCCGCCTCATGGCTCACCTACGTGGTGGTAGCAGTTAACCAAAATTGGGCTTTGTCTAGGCTTCAAAACAACTTATACTGTTACAACTAGTTTAATTAATTAGGGAAAATGTCTAAAACTCATCATAAGTTTTTAGTATTTCTCTTAAATTCATCATAACTTTTTAAAATGTCTAAAATTCATCATATCATTAAGTTTTTATTTTCTAAAATTCATCTTCTGTTAGTACACCGATAATGTTTTTTAATTTAGGTGTCCATGTTAGCATAAATAACAATTTTTATGACCAAATCACTTTTGAATGGTGAGTTAAAGGAAAAGGTTTTTTTCATTTTTTAATTTTCTTTTTTTTTTTACATTTTAGTGCTTTATTATAATTTCTATTTTCTACAATCTATAAAATTTTCTGTATCTTTTTCTATTTATTGACAATTTCTGTGTTTTTCTATAATTTTTGGTGTTTTTTCTATAATTTTTATTTTCTAATTTTGTTTTTCAATTTCTATAGTTTCTATAATTTGAAAATATATATTTTTTTTATTTTGTGTGCAATTTCTATAATTTTTTATATTTTCTAATTTCTGTGTTTTTATATATTTTATATTTGAAAATATTTTTTAAACTTTTTCCTTTTTCTCATATCTAAATATTAAAATATATATATATATTTTATATTTTTCTATAAAGATTAAAATGGTAATATATTAACAGCTATTAACCTCTTTAATGTCAAATTAATGATATGATGAGTTTTGGACATTTTAAAAAGTTGTGATGATGAATTTTTGACAATTTTCCAATTAAATTAATGTGTCCATGAAAAAGGCAATAAGGAAAGAGAGGAATGAGGAAGTGAGTGGCGGCTTTACACTAATAACATACAGAAAAGTGGGCATTTTGTTCTCTCTCTATCTTTTTCTTGCATAACACGTAATTTGTTAGGTAATCTCAGATGATGCTTCCTCCTCTTCTTTTTTTCCTCCTCCTCTTCCTTCTTTTTTTATTATGTGTTACGAGACACAGAATCTTTGACACCCTCCTCTGGTGTTTCTATTTCTCTCTCTGTCTATGTCTGTGGTGGTGTGGACCCAGGACCCACCCGCAGCGACTTACATAAATTTTTATCTTACTACTTCGGTACTTCCCAAGCTCCAACTTTTCAAACATACGCTACCTCCCTCCCTCCCTCCTCCTCCCTTGCTTGCTTAGAGACTTAGAGAGAGTGAGAGAGAGAATAAAGGGAGAGGAAATACAAAAGCAATCATCTCCAAACCACATTGAGATGGCTTCTTCACCACACCGGTCACCGCCAGAAGAAAAATACAACCCACCTCCAGAAAGCCCACCCCAAGATAATCAATCAGAGAAGTCTCCATCCAAGGCGATCGTCGCCGTCGAGCGCTACTCTCCGCTTCGGTCTCCCACTCCTAGAGAAGAGAAAAAACCGGTCTCGCCGCCGGCGGACAACGTGCCTTCATCGGCGACGGTGAAATCCCCTTCTCCTGTGATCGTGGTGAACCGGTCTATCCGGGAAGAGTTATCGGTGGCGACGAAGGTGGATTCGGGAGGAGACGGGCGAAACGTTGAAGAAGGAGGTGAGAGGCGATCGAGGGCGTTGTCATCCATTCTTCGGAGGTCGAGGAGGGAAGTGATGGTGAAGAGGGCGGAATTAGGGTTTAGGGTATGTGCGGCCCTGTTCTGCTTGGTGTCATTTTCGGTCATGGCCGCCGACAAGACGCAAGGTTGGGCCGGTGATTCCTTCGACAGATACAAGGAATACAGGTCGAACTTCTCAAACTCGTTTTTGTTGAGCTTCGCTGTTCGTTTCTGCTGAAACTACTCCCCCAAATGTTCTTTGTTCTTCTAAGTAACATAATCAAAACCCCTGACGAAGGCGGGATTCGATCCCAAGTCTTCGCTACAGGCTACAGCCAACAGGAGACCTTTTCTGTGAGCCAACCACATGTTGACCTACGATCCTAATTTATTATTATTGGTTTATTTGTTATACAAGTACTTTATACGTTAATAGTTTTGTTTTGCATGAATTTTTATTTATTTAGGCTGTGTTTGTTTCGAAAGAAAAGGTAAAGAAACCTATGACCTATAGTTATCTTTCCTTTTATTTCTCTATCCTTTTTCTTTCAAACCAAACACTGCCTTATAGTAACCCTTCCTCACATGTGAGTGAATGATTTGATAATCTAATCTGATGTACTGATGGGCGATGGCAGGTATTGCATATCCGTGACCGTGATTGCATTTGTGTATGCTGGGTTTCAGGCGTGCACACTCTCCTACCACATGATCACCGCTAAACATGTCATCCCTCTTCCACTCCGCTGTTTCTTTGACTTCTCCATGGATCAGGCAAGTGTTTTTTTTTACTAATTTTGATAATTGCGATTCTTATTATTAATGTGATATTAATTAATTTTGTGATTTAATTATTATTATTTTATTGCTTCGGTCAGAGGTATTCCCATGCAAATGCAAGGTTGCAAGAGGCCGTGACGGTGTGAGCACGGGCTTGCCCTGATCGAACCCGATCTCCATTTGGCCATGCTGACGAATGGTGACCCTTTAAAATAGACCGATCTGCTCTTATTAATTATTATTCATGGGAGATGTTCTCAATGAAACGCTCATTTGTGAGGAGCAGATCTTTCGACTCCTTTAAAAGGCCGTGGGCTGTGAATTAGAATCTGTTCCTCACATAACGCACCTCATAACTTCATCCTACTGTGAATAATAACACAAAGGACGGAGATATTCCCAATACAGGCTGTGAGGTACGTTCTGTGAGGAGCGGCTGTGGGCCGGGTACCTGAGGGAAAATTTGAGAATCTTTTGGGCCTGTTACAAAGGATTCACTGAATTTGATAGATAGCACTCCTGTTTTACTTAGGTGTGGGAACAATCATTTGGCTCCAACACAGTCGTAAAGATAAAAGTGTATATATGGCCCATATGGCCCACAACCACTTAATCTGTCATTGTATTTTACGACTGGCATGGAACAAAATGATTTGGTCCCACAGCTATCTAATTCAGCTAATGCAATACACAGTAATCATCAGGGTGGTTCCATTTAAACGTGTGGCTTTTTGCAAAGTGGATGGATCTGGGGGCCTATGATCTGACTTGCTACTGCCTAGTTTTGAGAGTTGGGACCCATCTCATGATGGAATTGGATCCTTTTAAATCCCTACCTATTAGGATTAGTGGAAGTGGAGGATGGAGGACCCATCCCCTCTTTGGTTCCTGAATCGGGACAAGTGGAAGATTTGGGCTATTGGGCTCCCATCCTGGTTCCTAAGACCGATGACAGACACCCGGGAAGGAAGAAAGGGAAAACTTTGGAAGATAATTGATCAAAGCCCCCACCCCATGTAGAAGATGAACTGAAGATGGGTAGTCTGTTTTGTAAATGGGCAGATATTGACATATCTTCTGATATCGGCATCATCATCGGCGGCGACTCGGGTAGATGATTGGCAATCCAACTGGGGGAAAGACGAGTTCACAGAGATGGCAAGTGCTTCCATCGGGATGTCTTTCCTTGCATTTATCGCCTTCGCTTTCAGTTCCCTCATCTCCGGCTATTACCTCTGTATTCGCTACTCCACTTAAAAAATGTCACTAGCCCTGTCATCTTCCATTTATATATTTATCCAGTATCTCTCTTCTACATGTTTTTTTTTGCCATTTCTCTGGCTTTAGAGAAAATGTTGGAAAAGTAAAAAAAAAAATTCGCATTCAGTGCTAATGCGAGAGAAATTCCAAGTTTTTTCTTTGTACACGCAACACACATACACCCACGCATAAAGATAGAGAGGACAGAGTTGTTTTTATTTTAGTCTCCAACAGTGTCAGTATGTATATACTTGGTCAGTTGCTGCCATATGGAAACAATTTATCCTAATTATTTCTGATTTGGGAACCAATTGTTACTTGTAAAGTTCAGATTCAGTAGTGAACTTAGTGATTCACTACCCAAGAGCACGGTTACTGGCAACAACGTAGAAGTGGCCCCTAACAATACAAAACACCGACTAAAAAGACACACAGCACAACTAATAGATCAAACCAAACACTAACTACCAACATTTAAACCCGAACAAACAAGACACGAAGAACAATTTAAACTATCAACTTTTAGACGGTTTATTATCAACCAGACTGGAGGATCAAATAAAATGTCAGCATGCCTTGAAAATCCTTGACCTATAACTTCATACTCCACAGTTTCCATCTCTTTGGAGAATCTGACTTCAAAGTCTTGACACAAATGCTGAATATCCTTCATTAAGAAAATAGAATCCTTAGGTTGGTCAGTCTTCCACTCTATTTTTAGTGCCCATTAATCAAGATCAAAGAATGACTTTTCATCCGATTCCAAAATAACTTTTCTACTACTACGTTTTTCTTTCTCTTTTTATATATTTTTTTAACTTTTTAAGCAAAAGGAGACCTTTCATCAAAATAAAGACATGCAGTTAGGGGTGAGCATTATTTGGTTAAAACCAAAAAATTGAACCGAAAATTTCGGTTTTTGTTTTTCAGTTTTTGATTATTTCGGTTTTGTAAAATTTTGGTTTTCAGGTTTAGAAATTTGGTTAACCAAAAAAACTGAGACTTTATTATCTATGATATATTAATATATAATATATATAATATGTATAAAATATATTATATTATGTATTAAAATATATTATTTATTATATACATTGTATAATATATTATGTATTAAAATCTATGATGTAGAAAAGATATGGTATGGGAGGAGTTTTGACCAATCAAAACTCACCCATGAATTTTGATAAATAACACTTGATTGGCTACCACATTTATGATTCCAATTGATTGGTCAGAAGTTTTCCAGATATCATATCTTTTCCATATCATAGTCGAAACCATATTTTTATATACAATATATATTAAAATATGTATTGATGGAGTGCGATCTGGATCCTCCTAACTGGAAGATGATCTGAACACCAGTTGCGTGACGAGCTAGACCAACCTACAGGATAATAGATCAGAGAAACCAGCGTGGCTAACCCGGCGAGGTCGCTCTGATACTTAAGTCAGTACAATATTATGGATGTGAGCTGAATACTTGAATGCTAGAGTGCTAGTGAGCAAATAATTGCGCGTACCTTTGCTTTGAGGATTGATGCCCTTATATAGTTGAATAGTCGTGAATCCTACGAAAAGGCTCCAGGATCTCCAAGCTGTGTAGATAAGATTCGTTCTGTTTTCGAAGGAGAGTAATGCACCAGTTGATAAGGTTTATCAATTCTCTTCGATTTGGGCAGAGTGAGGATGAGCCTTGTTAATGAATGCCGTAAACCCGGGGAATTCGGAGTCCGTTGGAGAAGCTTCTAGAGTCGATTACGTGGTGCTTCAGTTCCTTGGTCCCAATCTTGCACCTCGGTTCTTTGGCTCTGAATTGGATCAGGTACCGAGGTGCCTTTATGACGAGGTGCTCAAGGTCCCGAGCTCCCGAGTTGTTGGCAAGGCTCCCTTGCTGAGTTGTCATCCTAGTGGTTGATCGCGTCAACATGTACTTCGGTTGTTAGGTCGAGCCAACTTACCCCTTATCAATTGCCCCCCACTCCCCGTGCCAGGGGTCGCAACCCCGGTGCAGGGAGTCCATGGCCTGCGCAAGTAGGTTGGCTCGATTTCTTCTTGGTTCACCTCCCGGTTTTTTGGTCGGACCGATGTAACCCATGCGGGTCAGTGGGAGAAACCAGATCGCGTGTCGGGGACGCGCGGACTCGGCGCGGTTTATAAACTCCATGGACGCAAAAAATCGCGCTCAACCAAAATCTTTCCTTGAAGGGAGTGCAATCGGTTTTCATGAGAGCCGTAGGATCACATCAATCTAAACCATCAGTTCCTGGATATGGTGGCTATAAATAGGGGGGACCCAGGTCCCCTTTCCTTCGTCCTTCAAAGTGCATTCGAGAGTTGAGGTCGCACATCCGTTCTTCAGCTCGCGTCTTGTATCCGAGGTACTTCACTTCTTCTTTTGTCTTTCGGTGAGTTCGCCTTATTCTGTCCCTCTTTACTTCGAGTTCGCTTGTTCATTTTTTATTCATATGTCTAGCCTTAGTTTAGATAGCTTCTAGATGGGAGCAGTGAGTCCGCTGGGGCCGAGGTGGGTACCTTAGCACAGACTGCGGGGCTTCATCTTGCTAAGGTGGGCACTTTGGCACAGGATGAGGACCCCAATCCGTCTGAGGTAGTCTCACCTCAGCGAGAGCGAGAAGCTTCTAGCAAATCGGCCTCCTCACATCGAGGTCGCCTGCCAGACAGCTTCGGTTTGTTTACAATGACAGTGGACAGGATCCTATCCTTGGTTGATCGCTATAGACTTCCTAACGATCTCGTTTATATTATCCCCTTGGGCCAATTTCCTTGGGATCACGGTTACGACGAGATCGTGGTCTTCGAGGAACAACTCATACCTGGCCTTCGTTTTCCACTCTACCCTTTCATATTCGAGATCATCAAATTTTTTGACATCGCCATCGACCAGCTCCACCCGACCTCCATTCGTAATATTGTAGGTACCATCTCCCTTTTTCATGACTATAATCGACCTCTTGTCCTCGACATTTTTTCCTCGATCCTTTCCATCAAAAAGAATTATGCCTGTGTTCTACCCGAGCACAAGCATATTTACTACATGTCTCCACGCCCCGGGTACAAGTTGTTACACGAGCTCCTCAACAAAGTCCCGGCCTGGAAGAGGCGTTATTTTGTAGTTTGTAACACGAAAGGATGGCCTTTTCCAACTCACTGGAGACCTGCCATCCAGGACCCCGATGTTAGGCTAGATAAAAAGGTGTGGGAGGAAGTCCGGGCTTGGGCGAAGCTAGGCTTGAAGTTTGAGAACTTTGTGACCGAAGAGAAGCTCGTGCAGGCCGGCCTAAGTCCTCTCGGTAGGTTGCTAACTATTGTATTCTTTCTCTTATTTTGTTTTGCTTCGATGACATTTTCTCTGACTCTATTTGTTGCTTTGCTACAGTTATCATGGTTGACTTCTTTGTTGACGAGCTCTTCAAAGGAATGCTGAAGTGCAAGAAGAAAAGAGAGCCTCCAAGAAGGCCCATATTCAAGAGGAGGTTCCCACTTCGGGCGTTGGTGCCACCTCTTCCGAACCTCCATCTGACACCGAACATCCCCCGGTAATCGACCTAGTCAAGGAGGATCAGGATAGGGCTTCCCCACACCAATTGCCAAAGGAAACTACATCCTCCGAGGCCCAACCAGCTCAGGAGGCCATCCCATCGAGCAGCGACGTCACAGCTCGAAGTGTCTTGAGCCCGAAGCTTGGTCTCCTCAAGAGCAAAAACGCGGTCTTCCCTGAAGAGGTTACTCGGTGGGCCGAGCTACCGGCTGTGCAGTTCGGAGAAAAAGCGGTGACACACTGCATGGTGGTATGTAACCAACCTTCAACCTTTTTGTACTTAGATTTTTTCTCAGTACTTATATCTCGTTTCTCCTCTTGTCAGGTGAACTCTTCGACCCACGCTCCGGTCTACCAGTCCGAGATGAATTTGAAGCGGGCTCTCGAAGCCGAGGAATCGATTTGAACCTAGTTCACAGTGAGAACAACAAATTATTGAGGGATGCACGAGCTCATAAAGAATTATTGGTAGTTCTGATGGTGGAGAAGGAGGAGCTGAAGGAGCACAAGGCAACCCTTAAGAGAGAGGTCTAGAACCTCGAGGAGCTGGTGAAGGAGCGAACTGACATCCTGCTTTGCTCGATGGAGGAGGCAAAGATTAAGGCCGTCGAGGAGTATAAGTCTTCGGTGGAACAATGCGAGTTGTTTTTCGCGACCGGGACGACGGGCTACCTCAAAGGCTTCAAACTTAGCAGGTGGTTGACCTGATGTGAGTTTCCTCACCTTGACCTCAGCGCTATTACCACATTAGAGATCACCGAGGAGATGGCCCTCGAGGTAGCTAAGGACCCTGACTCCAAGGAGGAGGAGAGCGACGACCTCTTCGGCGAGGAGACTATGGAAGGGGATGAGGGAGGTGGTGCCGCCGACGCTGCCAACGATCTCATGGAGACTGATCAACCCACCAACATTGCTACTAGGGGCGAAGAGCCCCGGGACGATTGATACTTCTTGCCTCTTTTCTTGGACTCCCCTACATAGTGTATGTCCCGAGCCTCTGAGCTCAGTTGTTGTTCTTCTCTATCTCGAAGTGTCAAGCTAACGAGTTGGACTCCAAGCAGGAATAACCCAGTATTGCTATATGCCGAGGTGGATGGACACTGTAGGGTATGTACCCGATTTGTCCATGCACGGGCTACTTACTTGCCCAAGCGGAAGAGGCGATTGGAACTTGTCGCGCTTATACCGGGGAGGCATTTAAGACTTATCTGCCCATGCCGAAGAGGCGACTAGGACTTGTCTTCCTATGCCGAGGAGGCGATTAGGACTTGTCTGCCTATGCCAAGGAGGCGATTAGAGCGTAATCAGCCTGGACGAGCCTTGTCAGTCCTATTTGCCCCTACAGGTCGAGCCCTCCGTGGCTCCCGCAGAAGCCGGCAGCCAAAGGACTACAATCGCCCTTGCGGTTTGAGCCTTTCAAGGTTCCAATGTGATATGGCAACCTACAGTTAGTAAAGCTGCCCCCGCAGGTTGAGCTCCTTGTGGCTTATTGTAGGAGTAGACGACCAACACCTTAAAGGACTGACACAGTGCAGCCATGTCACTGACCCGCTATTTAAATTCCAACATCGACACACATATCGCATGGTGGAAGCCAAACCACTTTCTGCATCAAGGATCCCTAAGCCGACCTCGAAATATGTTGGTAACAAGCCAAAGGACCTACAATGAAGCAAAAATCTACTCCATTCGCTAAGTTGATCTCAGCTCGAGAGTGGGGGGCAATTGATGAGGGCAGATTTGGCCCTCCACTGACATCATGACACATGGCATTTCGAAACAATTGGGTGACACCCCAGAACCACCTAGGTGATAACTTGCCTTAGCCAAAATGATGGAGTCACAACTGGCCCCTGGTGACTTGGCGACCTGCCCCCATCGCCGACCTAGTGACCTGGCGACATGCCTCCACCGCTGACCTGGCGACCTGCCTCTGTTGCTGACCTAGCAACCTGCCTCCGCCGCCGACCTAGCAACCTGCCTCTGTTGCGGACTTGGCGACTTGCCTCCACCACCGACCTGGCGACCTACCTCCACCGCCGACCTGATGACCTGCCTGGCGACCTGCCTCCTCCACCGGCTTGGTGGAAACCTAGCTAGCGACCTCGTCCACAACTCAGGGCGGATAGCAGCACTTCGTCCAGGGCCAACCTGTGGTACCTCGTCAGTACCGGTCGAGGTGATCTCGACGTGAGGAGCGACCTCCCTCGAGGGCTTACCGACCTGATTGAGGTCCAGGTGGCGACCTGCGAGACGTGCTCGCCGACGAATTCTGCATGCATCCCATCACTCCCAGGTCTCTCGGAAGTCATCTATCACACCGAATGTTTTGGAGGAAACCGAGTAGGGCGCAAAGATTGGCCTATGTGCACGACTACCTCCTAGGACTTCAGAGCAATTAAGTACGTCTTCCCAAACACGCTGTGTGATACCCACGCCAAACAATGTCTATATAAAGGCCTTACCTCCAACCTCAGAAGGTACGCGCGATTTAGTGCATTGTAGCTCTCCTTGTTCTCAAACTCTCAGCTCGCATATACTATTACTGGCTTAAGCATCGGAGCGAGCTCGTCGGGTTAGTCACCTTGGGTTCTTTGATACCTCCATTTCCCTGCAGTTCGAGCGATCTACTTAACGACAAGCGTTCGAACTGCCCTACAACTAGGAGCATCCAGATCGCACACTATCATGTATAGCATTGATTTGAACTGAAATAATAAAAAACCAAACTACAATTTCGGTTTTGATTATTTTGGTTTTAATTCGATTTTTCATTTAAAATTTTGATTTTAAAAATTTCGATTTGTTCAATTTAATTTTTAATCGAATGAATCATTTGCTCACTCCTACATGCAGTTACTAGAAGACCATTCGAATCGTAAATCACCACGGCACCATACCGAAAACGGAAAGCCTGCATCAGAATTTACTTAGAAGTTTGACCCAACCCGGTTCCGGAGACCGCCAATGGCAACTATTTTTTATCACTTGATAATGGCTTGGACACAGCTTTCCTGATGTCCCTTGCCGGAACCCGCTTACTAGATTCTGAATCGAACTATGTATACAACTTAATGCAGACCTCAAATCTAAATTAGCTTTAGAGTAGCATATTTCGAGTTGAAATCAGCCCCCACAAGATAATTTTCCACAACGTCCCATAACACATACCCACTGTGTATTGGGAATATCTGATGATACTTCATCATTTTTTATATTATTATTGGGAGATGTTCCTAATATGGGGATATACTGTGGGGTGTTGTTGGGGGCTAATTTGAACTCGTATATTTCATTTCTAGTATTACAAATGGACCACAAAATAAATTAAAAAACATTAGAAATCAAAAGAAGGATCTAAGGAATTTGCCTTTAAATAATCACAAGATTCAGCAAGCCAATACACAGAGGAAATATTATAATCAGAAACATCAGCTTTTAAACTAAAATGTAAAATCACTACCAAACCAAATTGCTCTAGCTACAACATCACAGAATAAAAGAGCATGAATGGTTGAATGGTAAAAACATAAGTCTCCTCTGATATTTGACTTAAATACTGAAACATTCCCTCACTTTTTAAATTGAATTTAGACCTAGGATGGCAATTTTCTCATTCCCTTTGGATACCCGACCTCCCTGACCCGATGAGATGGGGTCAGGGATGAGATTGATAGGAATTCCCAACTGGGGTTGGGGTCAGAGATGTGGAATGAAGTACCTGCTCTGCCATGACCCCAATTATGTGTTAAATATTATTTATATTAAATATATTATACATATGATATTATTAAATTATTATACTATATAATCAAAATATATTTAAAATATTATTTATATTTTAAATTTATTTTTTATTTTAAATAAATTTATTTTTTTAAATACTATTAATTAATAAATTTCAGAAAGTCTAGTCCCTGCGGGAAGCCCATCTCCTTTGGGGATCAGGGATGAAACATAACTTTTATCCCTAGTGAAGATCGGAATTAGGGACGGGGTTAATTTCAAATTGGGGTCGGGGACGGGAATATGATCGCTGCCCAGAACCCACCCTCTGTCATTCGTACTTGACCTCCCCCTCTTGGATGACATCAGCAGACAAAACCCTCCCATCTATTAACACTCCATCCATATTTATTTAGTACATAACATCATGTGTGCTTTCATTTAAAAAAAATCCAGTTTTTCCCTTTATTACTTCTTTGCTTATTTGGTTGTGTCTTATATATGGACAGAAACCTCCCCTCACCAAGAAAAAGGCAACCTTAGAGAAGGGTCTTATTTATAACAAAAAATATATGTTTTTTTTTTTTTTTTTGCAAACAGTTTTTTTAAAATATATAAAAACAAATGTGAACGCCAAATGTACCCTTTTGCGCTTAGATTTATGATTTCAGATTAGTTTTAACTAATTTACAGGTAGGAAGATAGGTGGATTAGTGGATGGATAGATGCAGCTCCATCAGCAATCAAGTTCTCATTGTTCTAAGGTCGAAGATGATGGGTTTTTTTTTTTAATTAATTAAAATCAATTTAATCTCAAATTTAACTTGGGATATATTAGTCATTTTTCTTTATCCATTAGACATGACAGTTTATAAACTTAAGAGGGGAGGACTAAGTCCAATCGACAATATCAGGAGAGGTTTAAAAAGTCTTTAACTCATTCTTTTTTCAGCTCCATTTCAAGACCCATCTTCTCCAATGCCTCTACCTTGAAGATTTCCATTATAAGTTCCATATACATTTCCAACACTTTTTTAAACGTGTCATCTAAGCTATTTTCAAATTCTCTATTCTCACACATACTAATGGCTACATGGTATGCAGATTTGAAAGTAAATTTATCATTTTGGATCTGGGTCCCAAGATAGCCCATCTTCCCAATTGTGATTGCCTGGACGAATGCTTTTAACCTTGAGGCAATATTGGGTACGGATATGATTAGTCACCTCATTTTTCCAATAATATGATAACCATTTATCTTTGGAACGCATGGGTCACCCCAAATGTCTATCTCCTCCCCATTATTAACCGCCCATCTAACTCCAAAAATTTGTTTACCTGCCAACAAATTCTTCCACCCCATTACACTTGCAAATTTTTTTGACACTTGTCCTTTGAAATATATAGGTTCAACTATGTTATGAAAAAGATATAATATCCGAAAAACGATTTAACAATCAATTGAAATCATAAACATGATAACAAATAAGGTGTTATTTATCAAGATTCATAAGTGAGTTTTGATTGATCAAAATTCTTTCTACACCATATCTTTTTAGTACTCCCAACCTAACTTGAAAAAATTAAAAACTACTTTTGACAGTTATTTACGTGTGCCTATTATATCCGATTCCAATAAAATGGGGGTGTTATCATTGGTTACACAGCCGAAAAAATCACCTTCAACCAATCCGAATTCCCCTTATTCTTTGTGGTAAGACCGTGAGATGTTCCCAATCCAATGCACGATTGTGCTTTAGGTCCCGTTTGGCATTATTCTTGTTTATTTCTGTTCGTGTGGAAATTCTTGTTCCGGAACATTTCCGTACGAACAACTAGCCAATGGTTCTCTTTCCTGATTACACGTGGTTGCATCCGAGGCATGCACACGTGTGCGCATCTCGCAGCCACGATAATAAAGTGAAATGCGCTAAGCTTATCAACGCTTGTATGAGAGTAAGAAGCTGAGAAGTTGAGAAGGGCGGGAGAAGATAAGCAGGTGCAGGTAATGGAAGCTCTTCTTACCACCACAACCCAATTTACGGCCGCTCACTACCACCCTCTCTCATCCACCTCAAGGCCGCCGCTGCCACCCCATCACATTAGATCTTTCCTCTCTTTCTCTTCTACATTGGCAGCAGCAGCAGATATCAAAACAAGTTCGACTACCCGTCTTCGAAGGAACTCTTCTCCTCTTCCTCTCAGAGTCTCTGCTAATTCCCAAGCTGCCCCTGCTTCCGTAGAGACCTCTACGATTTCTCCCACACCCTCTGAAATGAAGGCTTGGGTTTACGGGGAATATGGAGGTGTCGATGTTCTTAAATTTGATCCAAAAGTTTCCGTGCCTGATGTTAAGGAGGACCAGGTTTTGATCAAGGTTGTTGCTGCGGCTCTTAACCCGGTTGATGGCAAGAGAAGACAGGGGAAATTCAAGGCAACCGATTCCCCTCTGCCTGTGAGTTCTTTCTATATCCCATTTTGTCTTTTGTTTCTCTAAATTCTTATCATCTGTAACTTCACCCTTGGGATTTCTCACTATTGAGCGTTATATAAGTGTTCTTAATTGGGGTTCAAAAAAATTCTATTGCACAAGAGGATTTTACTGGTATTCTATCTAGATGTTATTGCAAGCTGGTCCTGTATTTATTTGGTTTCTTGAACTACACATTCTGGAATTGACGTTTTAAAGCTGTTAATGATGAAAATTGAAAAACATAGTTCTCCTGGGTTTGAGGTTTGAACAAATCAAATCGCGAAAAGGACTTTTTATTTTATTTTATTTTTTCTGACAACTCTTTTGCTTTTTGAAGAATTTATTAATTTTCGTGACAGCTGTTAAATGAATGCTAATTTGTTGCTATGATATCTGCAAAATGCAAATATTTGTTTTTCGTTCAAACTACAGAGTAAAAGCAAAGCAGTATGGTTTCACCTAATAATGTGAATTATGTTTGTTAATTTTGCGGTTCCAGCTCTCGTAGGACACCATGAGTACATGACTACTAGGGGTTGAAAACTAAATGTGGGTTCTCCTCAATTTACTTACATGTTTAACTTCTCTGCTTTCTATTCCTATTTCACGGTATATCTACTGAATCCTGAAATATTTCTCAAATCTCTTTGATCATTTTATCTTCATCTTTTGAATGGGTTTTCGGTGTAGACTGTTCCAGGTTATGATGTTGCTGGTATAGTGGTAAAGGCGGGCAGCCAAGTGCAGAGCCTAAAGGAGGGGGATGAAGTATATGGGAATATCAATGAGAAGGCTCTGGAAAACCCTAAACAGTTCGGCTCTTTTGCAGAATATACTGCTGTTGAGGAGAAACTCTTAGCACCAAAACCCAAGAATCTGGATTTTGCTCAGGCTGCTAGCCTTCCCCTTGCTGTTGAAACTGCATATGAAGGTCTTGAAAGATCTGGATTTTCTGCTGGGAAATCTATTCTTGTATTGGGTGGTGCTGGTGGAGTTGGAACTCTGGTAATCCAGGTAATTTCTTCACTCTCTTTCTCACCGTCATTGAATATTTAGATGATTGTGTGGATTCAACGATCCATACTTATTTCCCCTTTATATTTGTTTGTCAGCTAGCAAAGCAGGTATTTGGTGCCTCAAAAGTTGCAGCTACATCCAGCACAGGAAAACTTGAGCTGTTGAAGAGCTTGGGTGCAGATTTGGCTATTGACTATACCAAAGAAAACTTTGAAGATTTACCGGAGAAATTTGATGTGGTATTTGATGCAGTCGGTAAGCTTCTAAATGCCATTTTCTTTTGTATATTTCTCTGAGAGGATCAGAATCAACTGAATTTTCAATTTTGTATTAGTCTATTTATTATTTTATTAATATTTTTGTGAATATATAATTATTATTTTATTAATATTTAATAACTTATATCTTAATATTTAGCATTAATTTATGAATATTTTATTATTTTCTTATTAGTTTATTACTATTCTATTATTTTTGTTTTATTATTTTAAAATTAATTTATTATTATTTAATAGTTAATATGTTAGTATTTTATTATTAATTTAATTATATTATATTAATATTTTATTATTTTATCATTAATTATTTTTTTATTATTGTCTTATTATTAATTTAATAATATTTTATTAATATTAAGATTTTGAGTGTTTCTTGTCATGAGTTATTTACTTCTCTTGACTCGGGCCTAGGGGAGACTACAATGGCTATTCCCCATTTGGGGGATTCTCATTCCAAAAAGGTTCAAAATATCGATACGGATGATATACCCAGTAGGGGCATATTGGCCTCCATGAAGCTCATTTCTCCTATCTTTTTTAGTTTTTTTAAACCTGGTTCTGAGGGGCGATTTAAGGCCCGTCTACCCCCTGAACTAGGTTAAACCCCGAAACACCCCCTGTAGGGCATATCGGGAAGCCCCCAATACGAAATGTATCAGCCAATACATATCCAAATTTTGAACCTTGATTCCAACCAAACAAATGGTTGGAATGGGAATGGCCCATTCCAATTCTGTTTCCATGCACAGGGAACCAAATGGACCCTAGATATATCTAGATGAAGCTTCTCCTTTCTGGGGAAGCTTGCTTAGCCTTTAAGTCAATATTTTCAGTAAAATACAGGAAATGGGAAAACATCCAAGTTTTGTAAGGCTCCATTTGGTTTGTAAGAAGATTTGGATGGGATGGGATGAAATGGGATGGTGTAAAAATTGATCTTTCCATTGTTTGGTTTATATGGGAAAATAGAAGGAAAAGTACCGAGAGAGATGGGAGTGCTGAGAAGGCAGATCGCTGCTGCCGAGAGTTGCAGTGGCGACCAGAGAAAGAGGGAAATGCAAAGGGGTGAAGAAGACGGCGATCTGAGAAAGAAACAGATCTGGTTTGTTGTCGCCGCACAGTGAAGAAAACAGTGAAGGATTGTTCCACCGCCGCCTCCTCTGTTCGATCAGGGAAGGCAATGAATAGTATCTGGTTTGTTGCCGCTGTCAAAAGGAATGGAGACTGTTCGCTGTCGTCGCCGTCGCCGCTGGTCCGTGGTAAGGAGACTGTTCATCGCTGGTTCGCCGCCACTGTTGAAAGGAAGGGGACTGTTCGCTGTCGTTGCTGTCACCGCTGGTCTGTGATAAGGAGGTTCGTCGCCTTATTCTAGTTGAAGAAGAATAAGGCACATCCCTTCAAATGATTTTCTCCGAATCCTTGATTTTGGGATCTTGCATCCCATCTTTTTCTCATCCCATCCCCCTCTTTCCCTCAAAACAAATATGAAAAAAGAGAATATTTTTGGAATATTCCAATGTGAATGCATTAATAGGGTATTTGAACATGCTGCATGCAAGGGTCGGATGAGTTCCGCGAGTACTCTATCATGTGAAGCAAAGCCTTCTGTGCGTTTAGAAAAGGAAAAAAAGAAGCCAAGAGGCAGAAGAAATAAAAGATTAATGAATTACATCTACAAATTAAATTGCCAATGTTATCCAATCCGATCAATTTTTGGCATGTAGATTCCATATTGAATTCATTCAGCCTTTCGTTTTTGTATTATTCCGATTTTGATTCTTATATTTGACTAAGAGGGTGGATTCATTTTCTTTGTTTTGAAAAAAAAAAAAAACAGGACAAGGCGATAAATCAGTGAAGGCAGTAAAAGAAGGGGGGAGTGTGGTGGTGCTAACAGGTGCTGTGACTCCGCCTGGTTTCAGATTTGTGGTCACTTCCAATGGGTCTGTGCTGAAGAAATTAAACCCATATTTTGAGAGTGGGAAGGTGAAACCCGTTATTGATCCCAAAGGCCCGTTCCCATTCTCCCAAGTTGTAGAAGCGTTTTCCTACATTGAGACTGGCAGAGCTACCGGTAAGGTGGTCATACATCCAATCCCATGATTAAAGGAAGCAATTTTCGGGATGTCACTACCATTATCCCACTCTATTAAAATTAAAAGCACTACCTAAACATGTAAGAGGCCTCTAGATGCTTAAATATGTACAGTGCAGTGTTTGAAAATTTGTATCTACACTATCCTACTCTATTTCAATAATGCCAAAATTTGCATTTGGATTTTTTTTTATTGCATCTCATACATGAGTGTTAGGGAATAAATACTTGTATCCAGAGACCTCTATAGGTTGAATGATTCTTTGAGATGACATTAGAGTCTATTTGATATCAAGTGTTAAATTTCCGTATCTCACATTATAATTAATTAAATTTCAGTATAAAGTATAAGTGGGCCTATGCTTGTCCAAACTTCATACCTGATGGGCTTTGGCCTAAGGGGATGGGCAGAAAGTCTTGCTTAAACAGTATTTTTCTTTATTCTTGTCGTCGAAATGATATATTTGATTACCTTTTTTTTTTTTGAGAGAGAGACGAAAGGTGGGGTCCTGAGATTCACCCCGTCTGAACTCCGAACCCTTTCTTGATGGACCTGTTGTACGGGTCTGGTGAATTGGATTTAGAAATGGACTAAATTACAGACAGCATTTTGCCCTTTGACCTAGTTTTTCTAAACCTCCACACATGTTTCTCTAAGCTTTAAATTCATCTTGAAAACGCAGAATGATCAGTTCATCAATGCCTTGAAATAATTTGTTTTTTAATATGGTTACTTTCATCATTTTGATATTGGTGTCCACTTATAGAATCTTGAATGGACAGTCTTCGTCACAAAACAAATTTGAGGGGCTAATTACTCTTACCACCCCCTAAGTACAAGGAATTTATCCTTAAAAATATGATGTTTACCACCAAAATAAAAAATAAAAAAAAAAAACCCCGAAAGGTTTCTCTCTCTCGCTCTCTCTCTCTCTAAATACCAGACCAGACTAGGCTGCTATGGGTTCGGGTAGGGATTGATAAAGCAAAGACAAGCACCAAAGGGCACACTACTATAGCATAGTCTAACGAGAAAGTACTATATAATTCAAAGAATGAAGTAACTAATAAACTGCCTCTGTCGTTTAATTTTATATTAATTTGCTCATATGATGTTCCAAATCAGTGAGTGGTGACTGATCCAGTGTTACGGGGAGAATAGTAGGTTATTGTATAAATTGTGTGATGAGATTCAAATGAGAGAAAGTAGATAGATGGTTTAGTCATGTGCATAGAAGACAATCACCAATACCCATAAGAAAAAGTGATTGTTACAGTTGAAGGAATTTAAAAGGGCAAAGATAGAGAAAAAGGACACGGATACAAATATTAAAAAAATGATTTAAGTGCCGATAATTTAATAATGAATATGGCATTAAACAGATCGGACCGGTAAAAAACATGATGCATCATGCATGTAGCACACCCCATATCCAAATTTATGGCAATAGATTAATGTGGGTTTGTATCGGGTTTGGTTGTCTCCTATATATATGGTTTAATGTTGTTTTTTATCTCTTATGAGAGTTATGTCATGACCATTAGATTGTAAGCTACCAGTGCTATTACTTCATTGATCATAAGCTACCGGTTTGCCATCCATCAGTTTCCAGGATCATAATCTGCACGATTTTCTCCTTATAATATAAGCTTGTCAATTTATATTAACTTCATGTAAACGAAAGTGAGAATGCTGGCTAGCTAGGACATGACATTTTTAGATCAATAATCAATTATCTAACTCTTCATAGAAACTCAATACACACCTGCTTAAAGCACATTAATTATTAGGTTTATTATCAACATAACCTTTCTGATACCTTCTATATATATATATATATATATATATATATATATAAAACTTTAATATAATATACCTACCCATATCTTATTATATTGTTTCTTATGACGCATCGGATAAACAAGCAGAGGTGCTCACTGTTCTGGCACATTAATGGAATCCAAGCACCAGCAGTAGTAGTCGGACCTTGATATGGCCAATAGCTCATCAGGTGTCATCCTCTCGAGCTCGTTCTGCCTCCAAACAGCGAAGTTGTTGCGATTTTGTGCATCCGTAGCAAGCGGGTACTCTTCCATCTGGTGAACTTTTGATTTCATTCTCATGTAAAGTCTCATCGTAGCCACACAATCCTCATACGGGTCTTGTATTCCAGTTTGGATATCATACCTGTCAAACGTGTTACATACATAAATAGCGTTCCAAGGTTCAAGCTTTTGATCTATAAACTAAAATTAAATGCTTAGAGCGATAATATAGCTCTTGTTTTCTGTATAGACCATAGAATACTTGCCCAAGATATGCTTGAGTAAGGTACTTGAGTGAGTTGCTGAGCTTGCTTGTTTTCATCAGGGGAGGGTATTTGGCTGTATCCCTGAGCATACAAACATCAGATTATTAACGAACGTTTGTTAGTTGTTCTTGAGCATTGGATTAACTGTTACAACTTCATCATCAGCTATATATACCTGATCATGTGTGCAGGATACTCGATTCCTAAGCGCTCAAGTTCATGATCCAAGCCATGGCCTACAAGAATCCTTGCTTTCCCACTTCTGGAACGAATCTTCCACATTGGTTCGCCATTGCACAGGAAGTCTTGAACCTTCCTTTGCACTTGCTTCAGTGGCATTGCATCTCTCAGATGTTCTGGGCGGATGCCGGTAGTTTCATACCTACAGTACGTACGTAGTTATTGTTTTTCTTGCTTGTATATAATTAAGCTTGAGCTTCATCAATGGCATTGAGATATGATATGATGGTTCATAAATTAATAATATATCAAAATTAAAATCTGAACAAACAAAAAATACCTGTAGTTGGTGACAGGAATCTGTGGTTTCACATAAGAATGGAAGATGATGTTTTCATCTTGATCAATGAGGCAAACTCTAGCACAGAGATCCAGTGAGCCATCACGGCCACCACCAACCATTTTGCAACCTAGTGCAACTACTTGTGGACCTCTTATCCTTCCACCATCCACTTTGAGAAGATCGTCTTTTATTCCCAAGTTGGACATTCGAGAAAGCAAACCCTGCTGGAAGCAGAAACAGAAGATATATTATTATTAATTATTTTATTGTATATATAGAATTAATATAAGTTACTGCTTTCATGCTTAATTAATTAATTTGCAGAGGTAGATAGATCGAGAGCAGCGCTTACGGGAGACACTCGGGAGAGTTGGCATGCTCCTCGGTGAGCCCTAAGAGAATTAGGGGTGTCGAGAATGGTTAAGCAGATGTTGCATCCTCTGACGCCAAATATTCTTGCACATTCCACCTTTGGCAGTGGGCCTTCAAAAGCAACTAAGCGTAAGTGCGTCGTCGTGTCTCGTAGGTGAGCATATATAAAGAAAAAAAGGTTAACTTAATGCATGGCCAGTTCAAGATAGAAGTTGTCGTAGTAGCATTTGGTTTAGTTTGGGTTGGGTTGATGCTCGATCGATACCAACCTATAAGATGCTCCCTTAATGATTCGAAAGAGCGGCAATGCTTTCTACAGATTCCACACATGGGCTCATGAACCGAGTGATATGAGGTCCTCATGTGATCCACCAAGTGCTCCACTTTGTTAAACTGTCTGAAGCATGCACCACACTTGTTCCTGCAGGTAGCAATAAGGTAGTCTTTGGGTAAGTTTTTCTCTGTTTTTTTTTTTTTTCAAACACTCATTTTAATTTATGAGAGTATGAGTATATATATAAAACCCCAGAAGATTATACGAGAGAGAGAGAGAGAGAGTACCTTAGAGTTTCAGAAGATTCAATTCTATTGTCCATGGCAGCTGCTATTAACTTTGATGCGCACAAGAGAGGCAAATTTAAAAACTGAAAACTGGAGGATCTGCTGCTGAATGAGGAGGGTCGTGAGAGGGTATTTATAGACAATATTTGGCGTAGTAAGGAACTGAGGCTTTTATAACTTGAGGGTTGAGGTGATTCCCCCATTGGGTGTTACGTTTATTGGGCTTATCTTCTACCATGGAATAAGTGACATCCAGCAATCTAAGTCCCTGTGAGGGGGCCCATTTAATTTGCCAAGAAGAATCTCGGGCCTTTACCACACAAGACATAATGTTTGATGAAAACTTGAATGTATTGGATGGCTAAAATCATATGGTTATTTATTACACACAAAATTATTAACAGTGAGTGGTAAAATGCTTGACTAAGCTCAGCAGTCAGCAGTGTGGATTATTACTAGCTTGGTTTCATCAATAATTAATCTCCAACTTCAAAGGAAAATAAATATACCCATGACTTGAAGCAGATAAGAAGAGAGAAGGTCAAGTGAGCATGCATGTAACTAGATAGATAATCTCCAACCTCCAACAGATGTGTTTGTATTAATTCTATAACATCATGAGGCATGAACATTCGTGCAAGTGTTGAACCAAGTATGGCTTTCCTTTGAATGGTACAATCCAGTTCAGTGGTGGTTGTATTGTATTTGTATGACGATGATGATATTTGAATGAGATTAATTACGTGCCTCGTTATTGTTTTGCTTTGTATGTGATGAGTTGTGAACTAATGCACTCGTCGCTTCCTTTCATTGATTAATTTTGTCATTTGTGAGAGAAAGCAAGAGGGTTTTTGACCCAGCTGGAGAATGTCAACAACTCTCTTTTGACTTATGTGGGTCCTATAAGATTCGACCTTCAAAGTTTGAAGTTGAACTTTTTGGAAACCTTTTTAAGTTTTATTTTGAATCAAATAAAAAGAAAAACAAAAAAAGTAAAAACTTTTTTGGATACCTTATCCTCCAATCCATCAACAAATAAAAGAAAAGTTGCTGACATCATGATTAAATTCCATTCCACATGCTCCTGCCAGCTATCGTCTTAAAATACTTTTAAATTTTCTGATAACTGAATACATCCTCCCCCTCTCAACAGTACACGGGTTAACGGAAAAATGGAAAAAAAACTATTTTATTCATCATTTTTCTTTAAATTTTTAAAATAAAACATCCTCCCCCTCTCAAAAGTTCTGAATATAATGGAGTTTATAAAAAAAATATATCAAAAGTTTTCCTTGCATAGACTAATATAAAAAATCTAGTAACAGTTTTGGTAGAGACGTTGAAATTTTTATCGGAAATCTAAAGCATGGGACTTTAGATCAGTTTGGTATCTGATTTGGGTCAGGTTTGGAAGTGGGGATTAAGAAATAAGGGTGATGAAAAGAAACCCTTCCATATTTGGCCCAGATGGCATAAGAGTGTTGTACAACAGAGATGCAAGTCCACATACAAAACAACTTGGCAGTAGCATCAATCCTCTAAAACAAAATCCGGAGAAGTAATTAGATTTATTGTTGTGCTCAAGGGCAAGTCTACAAATCCCTCGTTTGAGGCTTCTATAATTGGGTCCACATGCATCCCTCGTTTGAGCAAGAGTCAGTTTTATTTTAAAACTTTGAAGAATAAAGAAAGGCATAATTGACCATAAAAAGGTTAATATTGGGTTTTAAAAAATTATTCATCACATAACGTCATGTGATGGAATTTTAACGGATGATGATGGTAGGGGAGAATTTAATCAATTGTGAAAAAATTTAGGACTACTTTAAGATAATTTGTAAATAGTAGGGGTAGAATAAGTCAATTTCAGGAAAATTTAAGAGATTTGCCCTAGAATTGATTTAATTCTGAAAAAAAAAAAAAACAGAGTATCAAAAAATGTGGGAAACAATTAGCTCGAATTCATTTGGAAATAAATAAACAAACAACAAGCAAAGAAACCTGGTCATGCATACAAGGAATTAAGATTTTCTGCCAACAAAACTCGTTCCAACCCTCTACCAATGTTATCTAACACTGCACATCTCACCATGAGACTGGAACCTGCCGTGTATGAGATGTGTGGTGTAAAAATCATGTTGGTACAGGGTTGGAACGTGTTTTGTTGGCCAGGTGATCCGAACATGCATATGAGACATTACAGCTTTCCCATTGAAGGACTCTCTCAGTCTCAACCTCTACGAGTTGCCAGCATATTCTTCCATTGATGAATTGTTCTGTTAGGGATCTCTGAAGTTCTAAATTCAGACAGTGGATCGATCGCTCGACCATGCAACACAGACGGTTGATGGGGTGGGTGATTCCTGTTCATCCAAGAATATTTTGGTAGGGGACAAGGCACGGTTAGGAATATGCATGCAATATTATCATTGGTCCTGTTTGAGGCTAAAAAGTATCAAGGTCAAAAGACAGGAAGACTGAAGACGGGAAAAAGGAAATTCAAACAACCACCGCCATCACCATGAGAATCCTCATACCAGAATCAGAATTATTTCCAAACAAGAACAAAAAATTTCATCTGTCAAAAGTTAAAATGGTCAACAGTCACTTTTTAGTCTTTACACATGATATAGAATTAGAAGAGAACAATGGCGATTGGGCAAACTCTCATATATATTACCATCACGCCTGCAGCCACCATATACATACCAGTTAGTTGAATATGGGAATATGAGAAGGGAAATGGCGGAAGGAATCCAATTCGCATAGGGGTATATCCAAATTACAACATAAGAAAAATCTATGATGACAGAAGGACATGTTTTGATCAATCAAACTCTTCCGATGATTTTTATAAAGATCCACCTAATTGATTGGTTATAACTTTTTATCTTTCCAACATTATAATTGAACCCCTGATTCAAAATTTCTGTATTTGAATTCGATTTAATTAAGGGAGATACCAGAAACACATGATACGGGAAGAGCATTAATTAAACCCACCCGTCAATTTTGATAAATACCACTGATTGGTTAATATGTTTTTGATACAGGTCCATTGGTCACAAACTTTTAGGATATCATAGTCAAATTCTTTAATTAAACAAGCCAAGCATACTATTTGAATTTGATTTTCTGATACGTACCGGAAGAACTTGTAACCAATGAATTCAAGCGAATACAAGTAACACTTTTCAATGGTCATGCTTTGGGTTTTGCAAGAGGGGGGTGACCTTGAATCACCATTCTTACACCCAATATCATTTCCCTCCATCAAATTTTCTAAGAAAATATGGGTGTATGATCAAGGTCAAGGATGTTGCATTCCTGATTCCTAGTAAAACAGAACTCTCATGAAAAGCAATGGTTCTGACTTCTGAACAAGAATAACAACCATCTTTGTCTTTGTGTTTATTCTTATGGACTTCTTCATTCGCATATGGTGGAAGTTAATAGGCTAATAACTTCATGAAAACCAATGGTTTTTTTCATCGTCTTCTTCTTCATTTCGAACCTACAACATTCACCCTCTTCTCCATTTCTCAGAGCCGAAAGCTACAATATCTTCATCTCTCGTTGTCAAAGCTACAGCATCTTCCCCATTTTTCAGAGTCGTTAATCATCGGAACTTCATCTCTCATCACTAGAGCTACAGCGTCTTCCCCATTTCCAAGCTACAACGTCTTCCCCATTTTTCAGAGCCATTAATCACCGGGGCTTTGGAGCTTCATCTCTCATCACCAGAGCTACAACATCTTCCCCATTTCAAAGTTACAACGTCTTCCCCATTTTTCAGAGACATTAATCACCGGAGCTTTGGAGCTTCATCTCTCATCACCGGAGCTACAACGTCTTCCCCATTTCAATGCTACAACGTCTTCCCCAATTTTAGAGTCATTAATCACCAGAGCTTCATCACTCATCACTAGAGGTAATTTCTCAAAGTCGTTTCATCATCGGATCTTCATCTCCCACCACTAGATTACAATGTCTTCCCCATTTTGAAGCTACAACATCTTCCCCATTTTTTAGAGTCGTTAATCATTGAACCTTCGTCTCTAATAATCTGTTCCATTGCATTGAGTGTGGTAAGCATCTAGTGGCAGTAGGAGGGAGTGGGTTTGGTGGTCAATGAACACCTCTCCACCCGCCGGAGCGACCTTCGGGTAATTATGCCATTTCTGAGAAGCAGTCTCGGAGGGGGGACGTGGGGATAGACGAGAGGCAGAACCACCTCCAAGGGGTGGGAGAGGTCTTCTGCACCTCCCCAGATGAGGCAGAGATGTCCCAATCCAATAGGGAAGGCCGACGGTGGAAAACGGTGCTTTTGTAGAACCACTGTTTCCCATCGTCGGCCTAGGCCGATGAGTGATCGGAAGGTGTCGGGATGCTCAGTGGGTGAGTGGCAGTAGAAGGGAGTGGGTTTGGTGGCCATCGAACACCTCCGCACCCACCGAAGCGGCCTCCGAGTGATTCTGCCATTTCCGAGAAGTAGTATCGGAGGGGGGCGCGAGGGTAGACAGGCGGCAAAAACCCCTCCACAGGGTGGGGAGAGGTCTCCTGGACGTCCCCAGATGAGGCAGAGATGCCCTAGGACAACGGGGAAGGCCGACGGTGGAAAACTATGCTTTTGCAGAACCAGCCTTTCCCACCGTCGGGCCGATGGGCGATCGGAAGGTGTCGGATGCTTAGCGAGTGAGTGGCACTAGGAGGGAGTGGGTTTGGTGGCCATCGAACCCCTCTACACCCACCAGAGCGGCCTCTGGTGATTCTGTTAATGGGGAAGGCCCAGATGAGGCAGAGATGCCTACGCCAACGGGGAAGGCCGATGGTGGAAAATGGTGCTTTTGCAGAACCACTATTTCCAATCGTCGGCCCATGCCATCGAGCTAATGGATGATCAGAAAGTGTCGGGATGCTCGGTGGGTGATTGGCAATAGGAGGGAGTGGATTTGGTGGCCATCGAACCCCATCGCACCCGTCGGAGCGGCCTTTGAGTGATTCTGTGATTTTTGAGAAGCGGTCCTGGAGGAGGGGCGCGGGGTAGACGGGTGGCGGAACCACCTCCACGGGGTGGGAAGAGGTCTCCTGGACGTCCCTAG